GGTCAAGTCCTTCAGGGCTACCCGAGGTGCATCACGTCTCCGTTTCCACAACCCGAGCTATGGTTCCTAGAATGAGACGAGAAATCCTCTCTCGAGTTCATTCCCATTTACAATCAATTCAACTGTTGGCCAAACAATCGAAAGATTTAATACAGGAAAACATAAACATAATCAAATAACGACAAATAGATCACATATCTGGAAATCAAAATCAATATATACAAGGTTTCATCACCCTAAAAGAAAATGCTCAATTCATTAGAAACATAGCATCAAAATGAAGAACACGAGAAATCATAAACTAAACGTAAAGAAAAGATTATGAAAAACCCGAGTCGAAACCCTCGTCGAAGCTTCCCGCGAAGAACTGGCGAAAACCGAAGAAAAATTGAAGAAGAAGTCTTGAGATAGGTCTTTTTATGGTCGAGATCTTCAAAAATGAAGAGACCTTCTATTTATGGAAATAAATCAAAGAAAAATATCTCGTCTCGAATTATGTGCCCAGATCGCGATCTGGGCTTCTTGGATCGCGATCTGGCAGCCTTGGAAACTGCGCACCGCCTTTCCAGATCGCGATAAGGGAATGGTGGATCGCGATCTGATTTCTTGATCAAAAAATGTACTGTGAGACCCCCCAGATCGCGATCCAGGAAGGCTGGATCGCGATCTGGGTCGTGATCAAGAAAGCGTTCTGTAAGACCCCCAGATCGCGATACAGGAAGGCTGGATCGCGATATGGGCTTCTGCGCCAACTTCAAACACGGTTTTGACCCTGTTTTAGCCCGAATTTGACAATTTTGCATTTCACAAAAGTTGTAGAGCTTGAAGTTAGCTTTCTATGGCCACTTGAATCAGCTTAATCGGGGGTCGTATGAGAAAGTTATGCTTGAAATACGAAACAGTGCCACAACCCGCGATAATGCACTTTTGCACGTGTTTGGTTTGATTTTCGGCTTCGTTTTCAAAATCGTTTCGAATCGGAAAAAATAACTTCTCTTTACCTAAAATATAAATAAAAAAAAAACAACATAATATATACAAATAAAGCCGAAAAATCGAACGAACAAAGACCAAAACTCGAATAATTAATAAGTGAAAATCATGCAAAATGAAGACTTATGAGTTATTCAAATGAGAACTAATATATTTATCTGATCCCACAGAAACTAAATTTTAACTAGAAACAACACACGCGCTCTCCCACGCGTCCACCCAGTTTCTTGTTTCAATTTCGTTTTTTTGTTTTATTATTATTATTATTATTAAAGGCAGTAGATCACGATCTCTGTTGATGCAGAATTATTGCAATTATTATATGTATATATATTAACCCATCTTGTTGGGAGAAAGAAAAGGAAA